CCGTAACTAGGTCGCTGACTTATCGACATGACAAATTTAACTACAAATTAATATTTGTTAATGCTGTAAGATGGACGGTGGTGTTTACTCACGTCAGGTTGTTAATATGTGACTGAATAGTAAATTACGGACAAGGTCTCGGATAGCTTAAATGGTAGAGTCTTTAGCGCGTAACCGAACGATCCGGGTTCGATTCCCGGTCCGGGCTGTCCGAATTATTTTTTCAGTCACTAATAAGATTCCTAATAAATAAAAAGAGGTCCTCCCCTTTCCCTTATCTTTTATTCAGCCAATTCCCAAATTTGTCATGGACATTATGACGCTGACATAGCACCGCGGGTGTAATGTCGCGCGGTTATTTAGTCGCGGGTATCTAGTCGTGGCACCCGAAACGACACACCGTTTCAAAATCTGTTGTGCGTAATTTATACAAAAAATTTTGTCTTTGTTAATTTGATTGTATTAATTCATGTAACCTAGTCTTGCTCCAATCACACTACTCCTGCTCTTCATTAAGATTAATATTAAGTGACCAAATAGCGAACTATCCCACACTCTGAGAGTGATCTCCGACAAAAAGAGGCTTGGTTCCAAGAGGCCGAGCTCCCTTCTATCTTGTGTTTCTCTTGGTGGTGTCCAGAAAGATTTCTGGCGTGAGTCTTCAGGTATCTGGCCAGGAAGTAACGTAGCCTGACCAGGGACTTACTGTTTAACCAATACTGTCAGATTTATTGAAAAAAGTCGATGATAAAATATATTTAGAATTTAGTTACTTATTGTTATTCCGAATAGGTATTCAGAATCTAACCTCGAGTTAATTGACCCCTATGAAAAAAAAGGTAAAACTTTGCAAGAGGGCTGAATTAATCTGTTAAAAATAGATAGTGATTAGTTAAAATAATAGCGTCTTGTGATACCACAAAAATCAAAATCTAATAACGCTTTTGAAAGCTAGACTACCCAGTCTTGGCCCAAGCTTATGGTTGCCATTGAACGGTAGAGATTAGGTTACTCAATTTTAGCCCAAGCTTGAGCAATCATCAAATGACCGAGGTAAGATAACTTAATCTCGATCCAAACTTGGGTCACCATTGAATGGCTAAGGCTAGGTTATCCAGTCTGGATTCAAACTCTGGTGATCATCGCAATTTCCAAAGCGGAGTACCTAAGCATAATCCAATATAAATACGACAAAGTTCGGGTTTCCACTGCTGGTTCACGAATAACCCTTCATTAAACTCTAAGAGCTCCTGTATGGGCAGTAAATAATCAATTTCGTCTATTTTTGAACAATTCTTGTTTTTATTTAATCAAATATGACTCATGTACTAACCAAATGAAGTTTGGCTTGACGTAACACTCGATGTAGCATTTTTTTCAAAAAAAAGTTGCTTGAAATATTTCAATCGTTGAACACTGTTAGGATATTGAATCTCAACTACTTCCCCTCGTCGCTGATCAAATAATTCTAAAATCTGATTAATTTTTGTATGATTATCATTATTGATGCTCTTAAAATGAAACAAAAATATGGAAATAACCTCGTGTGGGATGTTTATGATGTCAGAAGTGATCGTAATCAATACAAGCATTTTAACTGATCGATTTTGTCCCTTCATGAGGGAGATGAAAATATTTCGACAGATTTGATCCACTAAATTCCACCACAAAAGAATATCTGGTACGTAGAGAAGAGATGGAAGTGTATGTTTAGCACTTTTGACTTTCTGAAAAACAAATTATGTAACTATAAATATTAAGTTACTATTGAATTAAGTAACTACAAATTTAATTTAAACCTATGTAAAAAAAAATTATTGTTAAACATGTTATCGTGAAAAGTAGCCTTATCATTTTTAGCATAGAGAAATTGAACCACTTTCAAGTAGAAAATTAATCTAACGGGATTCTCTAGGGGATACCCTAGTGAACACATGACCTTAATATGACGTCATTTATAAGTCGCGCGAACGTCATGATATTTTGACGTAAGTTTGACATAAAACTGTCCTTCCTTATGACCTGATTAGTAGTATAGTGTAGTACAGTGTAGTGTAACAAAACTGTCGGACGATCAATTCGCCGGACGATCAATTAACGATCTAAATTAATGCGAATGGAAAATAAATCACGAAATACTTACAGTCAGGATTAATATATAATTTATAATTAGTAATACTAAGTAATTAATTATAAATAGTACCTCAAATTATTTAATTAAATAGGAATGTAAATTGCAGGAAAAGATTCCGGGAATTAACTTACATAAAATAAATTATTATTAAATCGGTAAATATTAATAAAAATAAATTATTTATTTATAAACGTTGTAACTTAAACTAAATATCTTTTCTAAATAACAAAATAAATCCTTTATGGAATTCTGATTAATATATATTACTTTTTCTTTAACTTAATTTATAATATTGCGTTCGAGGATAATAATAGTCGCAATGAAAACAATAATTATAATAATGATTAAAACTTAGTACTATTCAATTTGTTCTGCGCTCGAAAATAGCACTTGCAGTAATAATAAATATTTAACATTAATTATTGTAAATAACGCTAAGCAATAACTGCTTTGATAACTAACGTCATTCGTAAATCGAACTAAAAATAATAATCGCAATAATGAACTGTGACGTAATGTCTTAATTAAAAATTGCTGACCGTATCGAGGACCCAACACGCGGCTTTCAGGACAGGTACAAATTTTCCCAATAATAACCCTTACTCGCTACGGGATCGACCCGATTAATCGATAGTGAATTTAATTAAACAATAAAAATGAATTATCTAAGCCAGGAAACAGCGGTGCGCGAATAACAAAATGGCTCAACTTGTGAGTACTCACCGAAAAAGGAAACTCAACCCAAGGCACCAAATCCACACTCCTTACAATAGCGGATGTCCCACGTGTCTTCCTCACACCAAGCGGGTCACCGCGTGTCTGTTCAATCTACGTCACCGTAAACCGTTCGAGGCCTCGTGTTCGATCACGAGAACCTCTTTAGCCATTTTCCCAAATTTAATAGAACTTGCTCGTGATCGATAATACGGGGCTTCACCCGTGCGAGTAAAGGCTATGATTTATCAATAATAGCAAAATTAGGTAACATATGACAATGATTTACGGCAATGTATACAAATAATAATAATAATAATGAATTACAAATAATTCATTATAAATACCTGGAATAAATGTAAAATTAATTCTTAAATTATAAACAATAATATTAAAAATTTACAATAATAATAAAAACTCTGTGACAGTAGTATAGTGTAGAGAACGGACATGTGTTTTGGTAATACTGTATAATAACTAAAATTTATTGCTAATATTGAAATATAATAAAGAGTGAGTTATCTGTGAACTTGATTAAAAAAGTCGGACAATTTTTTGAAACTGAGTTTAAGATATTGTATTGGAGAATTACTTAAAAATTAATAAAAATATCTCGGCTTTTCGTTGTTAAGGTTAGGTTTTGCAGACATCATGGTATTTATTTTTTACTTTTTGGTACCATCTACAGGTATCATTTACAATGTCGACGTGGTGCGCTTTATGTAATAAGTCTATTACCGACGCAACGACATTAGTTCAAACTAATGCCTCATGTAAACATTACTTTCATGACAGCTGTGTAAAAATACGATGCTGTCTAGCACAGAAAGCACGTGCGGCAGGAAAAGTTGCTGATTGGTGTCCAGTTTGTCTGACAGACATTTCAAGTGCATTAATTGAAATAAGTTCAAAAATAAATAAATTAGACACTATTGAAGAGAATATGTCTGGAATAAGCAAAAAGATCGACAAATTTGATACAACCTTGAAAACTGTAGATGATAAAATTAGTAAGTTGATGACAAACTACAACACGCTGCAGAGTGATTTCAAAAAACTTGAAGCTCGAGTCACGAAAGTTGAAAAACGGGAACCAGAGGTAAGCTGCGAGCTGATAGATGAAATTAAAGGTGATGTGCAAAGCATTGCTGAAGGAAATCTGGAGCTGCGGACTTTACAACTCGAATCTCAGATTTTGGCAGATGAAATAACAATTGGTGGTATCCCTGAGTCTGAGAATGAAAATTTAATCGATGTAATTACTGATTTGTCAAAAATCTTAAAGACTGCGACTTCGAGTAAAGATATTGTGAAAGCAGAGTGCCTGGGCAAAAAGAAGAGAACTAATCAGCGTGACATTCGTGTCAAATTTACGAGTGCGAAGTTTGTTGATGGTTTCATGGACAATATAAAACCACCTAATACAGGACACCTTGAAGATCTAGAAGAAGAATTGGAAGCTATAATGACGTTATTTTACAATATAATTATACTTGGTGATCTCAACTCAGACTTAAGCAGGAAAAATTTCTATGGAAATCAACTTCGAAAATTATGTGACTGTCTCGACTTATTTATTGTTAACTACGGCCCAACTCATCATCTGGAGAACTCGGATTCTTGGATTGATGTTTGCTTAGTAGATGATCTTCACAAGGTCCTGGAGTCAGAGCAATCTTCACAGCCATTTGTTTCAGATCACGATTTGATTTTGATGACGTATAACTACAAGGTCGATAGATCTCAATTGAATAGCTTTACATGTCGAAATTGGAGCGCTATAGACGAAGATTTACTAAAGAATTTGTAGGATAACGTGGACATAGAAACAATACGATCAATTCATACGGTAGACGCAATGAATGATTTAATTCATGAGCACTTGGGTCGAATTATAAATATTGTTGCACCAGAAAAGAAAATATGCCCACGTCGTCCGCCTGGTCCCTGGTTTACGAATGAAATAAGAGATCTTCAACGTCTTTTAACGAATGAAATAAGAGATCTTCAACGTTTCAATATTTAGGAGAACTGGTTACACGTATAAGGAACACGTATAAGGAACGTCTTTTAACGAATGAAATAAGAGATCTTCAACGTTTCAATATTTAGGAGGACTGGTTACACGTATAAGGAATATTCAAACGTCAGACGTTTAGTGAAACAAAGGCTTAGTAGAGAGAAGAAAAAATACTTCGACCACCAGTTAAGTAATGCTAACAACTCGCAGGCTCTATGGAATGATCTGAGAAGTCTAGGTTTAGTTAAACGCAAAAACACTCAAACTGAAATAAATATCGATTTAAATGAACTGAACGACTATTGCTGTGTTTTTCTATCTAAGTAAAACGTTTGACTGAGTAAGCCACAAAATATTATTACATAAACTAACGTTTATGAATTTCTCGAACCTCAGCATTGAATGGATCAGGTCTTACTTGAGTCAGAGACAACAATCGGTTCATTTTAATGAAGATACATCATATTGGAGGGACGTACATAGCGGGGTACCACAAGGTAGTGTACTTGGGCCACTACTTTTTTCGCTCTACATATCCGACCTTGCGAAATGCCTAGACTATAAATATTTATTTTATGCAGACGATTTGGTGATCTATCTCTCCTGTCACTCTTATCACCCTTCGCAGATCGACGAGTGTGTCAGACTACTGAATAACGAAATAAATAAAATTCTGGATTGGTGTAGGTTAAATTGCTTAAAACTAAATGCCTCGAAGACACAAGCAATCATCTTTGGAAGCAAAACTAGAGTTAACAGTGACATTTGTAAATCGGCAAGTAATATTGTGGTTAGTGAATGCACTATCTCCTACAGCAGTGTAGTTAATTAAATATTTAGGCGTTTTGTTAGACAATACTCTATCATGGGACATTCAAGTGACCAGTATGTGCAATCGTGCAATGAGAACATTAGCGCAACTAAAAAATAATAATGAAATATTTAATCGCAAATTGCGCATTAAGTTAGTCACCACTCTGATATTCCTTATCTTTGATTATTGTAGTGCAGCGCTAACGAATATTACAAATAAGTTACAACTAAGATTACAAAGAAAAATGAATGCTTGTGTGAGGTTTATTTACAAAGTACCCAAGTTTGAACATGTGACCCAATACTATAAAAACCTAGGCTGGCTAAAACTCAGCACTAGAAGAGACTATTTTATTGCCTGTTTATTCTACAAAGAAATTTATCAGGGCTATCAGCAGCTATTCAGCTCAGACTTAGAATTTTTACCAGTTGCGATGCGTAGAGGAGATGTAAGGCAGGACTACTTGCGATTGCCTCAGGCAAGAACTATGATCTATGATTATTCGTTCCTTATTCACGGAATACGAGTTTGGAATTCGTTGCCTGCTGAGGTAGTAGCAGCTGGTAGCTTTGATGAATTTCGAAACATTTGTTTTAACTTCCTGTTAGAAAATGAACTTTGATGCGCCATTACTATTTATTTACTTACTTACTATTCACTTACTTTATATTACTATATTACTTTATATCACTGTCAACAATAATAATAATATTAATATTAGTTGTCAAAATACTCTAAATATTAAAAATTATGTATACGTCCGAATCACTGTAAAAAAATGTATCTTGATGGTCCTGAGGGAGCCTAGGCTCCAAGATCGAATAAATTTTCATTATCTATCTATCTATCTAATTGAGACGTCAAAACTTGTGATATAATTTCTACATATTAATGATGTAAATCATGACTTTTGTAAGATGTCGTGGTTATAACTCATGTATTACGTTCTGTTGCGTAAATATCAAGGGTTCGCACCAAAACCCTTGATAACTCCGCACTCTACCTCACCAGAGGTGCTGTGACTGACGCGCACTTTGAGAGTCATACTCCCGAAGCTGGTAGTCGGCTGCACGCTAACCGCCATAACTACTCTACTCGCGGTGGCTAGCTACAGGTGCTCAGTATATTACTTAAAATTATAAAGTTATTCAGTACAATCTCTGCAATTAATCAACGTAATCGTTCAATCAAGGGTATTCAACCACAATTGGAAATTCAGGTACATATTTTCATGTCTCGCAATACTTATTTATTAATATCCTATTAAATAATAACCAATCATAATTTAACCTCTTGCTGACCTCTCATGCCGGTTATTTCATATTTATAAATTCTGTTATTTTTTCATTGTATAATACTTAATGATTATACTCTGCAGTCTTAGGGGATTAAGACACCATTCATCAATATTTCAAGAATCTATATGACTCATCATGTATCAATTTAACATGCATTTTCAGTTTTGTCATACCTGGCTGAGGTGATATCATCACCAAAACACCAGATATGCGCATAATCTATAATTTTCTCTTATGACTGCAATAGCCTCAGTTAGCGTTCGTTCTCACTATCGCGTTCATCATCCAGCTCACAGCTCGTCAAAATTAGTGTCGCTTCATTAAGATAAATTAATGTCTTAATTATTAATTAATTAACTTGTGATATTTTAGTAATGTTAATATCAATATTTATAATATTGTTAATTTAAAGTCAATATTCACGCTCATCTTAAGGTAGTTCTTTCCCAACCTATAGTTTATGCTACTGCTGTCTTTGTCACTCGCTAGTGTCGTCTCTCTTACGAGCTATTGCTCACTTACTTCCACGCATGACTTTATTTGTTTACTTTACTAGTTTATCAATGATTTCTCAGAAACTATGAGGTAGAGAATTCCAGAATTTTGTAGGGTAATTATACATGTATTAATCTAAGTAATATTAGCTTTTCGTCTAAGTAATAGTAGCTTTTCGTTAAATTCTTAAAATTTCTTCAATACAAAAATAATAAAACTTAGCGGTTTTCTCTCTCTTCTCCCATACCGCCTGTGTAAAAATGTCATTTTTAAATGCAATTATCTTCGGTTAGACGTGGTAAATAGCCCGAGTCGAAATTCAAGTTCTGTTTTGACGGTACTTTTTTCCAACTTAACTTTCAGATAATTTTACCATCAAACCAAACGTTACATTATTGAGTGCTTCATGAGTGTACGTCTGGTTTAACGGTAACTTGTGGAGTTTTTTCCCATTCTGGCGTGTTTACCATGAAACCAGACGTTAAATAACCATAATTCTAACCATAATAATAATAGTAATAATATTTAAAAATGGCTAGCGATTCGGGATCGGATCCTTTTTTTTATTTTTAATGAAATAATAATAATAACACCTGATATTTTCAATAAATAAATAACTCAACGAATAGAGAACCCGAACATTATTATTAGTATAATTATAATTTTTTTTTTTTTTAAAAGATTTAAGGTCGCTTCAACCAACGGGTCATTAGCGACCATTATATACATATGATTAAGTAATATATTTACATTAACATTATATAAATACTAACATATTTTAACAATAGAATTTATAGTCAGTTAGATTTCTTTGATTAGTTTAGTTATTTTTAAAAATTTTTTTACTTTATTGAAATTTATATTATTGTTTAAACATTCTTGAATGGTTACAGGTAACTTGGACTCTCTCCTTTAATTGTTTAGACTTCTACATTCTATTAACCAATGGAGTACCGATGCTGGCTCTCTTTGGCAGAATTGGCATCTTGGTGGTGGTTGTTTTTCAAATATGTGTTTATGAGTAAAATTTGTATGTCCGATTCTGAGACGTGTTAATATGCACTGATCTTCTCTATTTATCAAGTGAGGTGTTATTTGGAAGATGTTGTCTCTGCTCTCTATTATTTTAGTTGGGTTGCTTTTTAACCAGAGTGTGTTCCAGTAATTATTTCTACTTTTATGTGTTAGAACATTCAGATCTTTTGGTGGAACTTGAGTATTATTTATTATTGGCAATTGGGTAGCTGTTTTTGCGGCTGCATCTGCAATTTTGTTACCAGCGATCTCCACGTGTGATGGTATCCATGCCAACATAATTTCTTTATTTCTAAGTGAGCAGTCGTATGGAGAGTTTTGGATTTGGATGATTAATGGATTATTTGATTTTAGGTTGGAGATATTTTCTAGTGTAGATTTTGAATCCATGAGGATGATTCCTTTATCGTGTCTTGAGTCAAGTACGGATATTATTGCTTCATTTATAGCATAGGCTTCGCATGAAAATGATGTGTATGCCGTAGGTAGTTTATGTAGGAACTCTGTGTCGTTAAATATAACCGCACATCCATTGTTTGATTCCTTTGTTGATCCATCCGTATAGATTTTAATATAATCTGTGTATTTGGATAACATTTCATTAAATAGATCGATATATGTGTTGGACAATGTATTACTTTTTCCGTCTGAATATTATATTAATTGCCAATCAATGTTAATGAACTGAGTTGCCCATGGAGGAAAAATTGGTATTGTTCTATTTAACGGTTGAAAGATTGGTATATTTAAAGTGTCTTTATATTCTTTAATTCTTAGCTTAAGTGGCTTGATGGATAGTTTATATTTTGGTCGATGGTTCCATTCAATTACGTTATTATCATTCCACGTTTTGTTACTGTTTTTGGTACTATAGTTGATTGCTAAAGTATATCTATGTAGCTCCAGCGGGGGAAAGTTAGCTTCAGCTAGTATACTGTTTGAAGGGCTGGTTCTGAAGGCACCAATAGCGAGTCTTAGAGCGGTAGTTTGTATTGATTCTAATTTCTCAAGTAATTTTTTGTTTGCGGTCATGTAGAAGATTGCTGCATAGTCTAATTTTGAGCTCAAGATGGCTTTATATGTATTTATTAATATATTTCTATCTGCTCCCCATTTAATGGATGATAATACTTTGATGATATTAGTTCTTCGCTTACATTCACTTTGTAATTCTTTGACGTATGTATGCCATTTTAGTTTGGGATCAAATGTGAGGCCGAGTATTTTCATTGCAGATACTTTCCGTATGGGTGAATCTCCAAGGTGTAAGTCAGGATCTAATGATTTAACATTATTCGATCGAGTGAATATCATGAACTCCGTTTTTGTTTCCGAGAACTTGTAACCTGTCTTTTTGCTCCATCTGGTCAGTTGATTTAGGGAATTTTGAATGACTTCTATACATGTATTTATGTTCTTACCTCTAGTACAAATCACTCCTTCATCGGCAAACCAAGCGTCAATTGCTGAAGGGTCAATTTCATTCATAACATTATTTATTGCAATGAGAAAAAGTACTACAGCTAAAACTGTACCTTGAGGTAGTCCATTATCTAGTTTGAATGTGTCTGATGTTTGTCCAATTTTTACTTTAATTGATCTATTGTTTAAAAAGTTGATAATAAATGTTAAGATGTGTTCACATAATCCCAATTCTATTAATCTTGCAATGATTCTATGTTTCCATGTTGATTCATAGGCTTTTTCTAGGTCAAGACTAACTACTATTGCATGTTGATCATCTGCCAATGTTTCACCAATATATTTTTCTAATATTGCTAAGTGATCATACGTGGATCTGTGTTGTCTGAATCCACTTTGTTTTGGAGACAGGATATTGTTTCTTTCTAGAAACCATTTTAAACGTCAGTTGACCATCTTCTCCATGATTTTTCCCGCAGTGCAAGTCAGGGCTATGGGTCTGTAGTTTATGGGATTGGTTTTATCTTTATTAGGCTTGGCTAACGGTATTACTACTGAGCTCGTCCATATTTCTGGAAACGAGTTTGACATCCAGATGCTATTATAAATTTTTAGTGACATGCGTTTGCATTTAGGTGATATTTGTTTAATTAAATCTAATGATATCCCGTCTGGACCAGGGCTATTTGATGTGACAGATGATATGACTGTTATTAGTTCATCATTAGTAAATTCTTTGTTGAGTTGATTGATTTCCGCGTTATTACTTATCACCATCGGTGGAATAATCTGTTTGTCTCTTTCTGTTTTTTCTTTAAACTCTCTAAATTCTTTCGAGTATACATCATTGCTTGAATTGTGTGCAAACGTCTTAGCTAGTAAATTGGCCATGTCCGTAGTGTTATTAATAATTTCGTTGTTTTTATTCATCGTGGTAGAAGTAGATATGATGTTTTAGGTCTTTGGATACGCTTGATAGTATTCCAAACTTGATTGATAGGTATTAGAGGATTCAGTGTGTTTATGTAGTTTCTCCAGGAGTTAGCTTTACTTTTCTTTAATGTATTTCTGGATTTAGCTCTGAGTTTTTTATAATTTAGTTTATTTTCTTGTGTGGGGTACTTACGGAATATGTAAAATGCGTGTTTGGCTGCTTTTATGTCACTGTCGCATTTCTCGTTCCACCATGGCACTCTTTTTTGACTAAGTTTAGCAGTTTTAAGTGGAAAGGATTTATTGGCAGACTCTTTCATCATGTTGGTGAAGTAATCTAATGCTAATATAGATGTGTTGTCTTCCATTATTGTTTCATTTATTTTATCAATATTTTCATCCATTAGATATTTATAATAGTCCCAGTCAGCTTTTTTCATATTCCATTCTAATTGGCCAGTGGTAATCGTACTAATATTTATTTCTTTGTTAACTTTTATACAAATGGGAAAGTGTTCACTATCATTTAAGTCATCAAGTGAGTCTCAGTCGAAACGATGAGCTATATTTGCTGAGCATATGCTCAGGTCGATAATGCTGGTTTGACCCGTGGCTTGGCAAAAGTGTGTAGGTTTGTTACTGTTCGTAATTATTAAACTATTGTCTTCAACAAATTTTTCAATTAATTTTCCTCTAGAGTTTGTATTTCGAGAGTGCCACAATATATAATGGCAGTTGAAATCACCATTTAATATGAATGGTGTAGGCAATTGGTTAATAAGGTTATTCAGTATTTCTGTGTTGTCTAGCTGAAGAGCATTTGGTAGGTATAATACAGCATATGGTTACTTCAAATGGAATTTTTACACGCACTGCTATTGCTTCTAAGGTGGCATTTAGTTGTACATTTTGTGCATATATATTATCTCTTACATAGAAACCCCTTCGCTAGCGTGCTGTGATGGTTTATTTTTATGAAAGCAGTTATAATGATTAATTTTCTCAGTATTATTATTTTTAAAATTAGTTTCCATAAAGCAGAATATAGATGGATTATACTCTAATTTTAGCAATTGAATTCTTTCTCGGTGGGGTGAAAAACCGTTTGTATTATAAAACCGCTCGCCAGTCATACACTATTCGCAATGCTACGCAACCGATTTATATGTAGAGCCTTGAGTGAGTTCATATAAACTATACAGTCTAGTCGAGAAGTGAGTTTTCTGCGAAAAATCGTTACAATGCTCTTAAAAATATGGCGATTGGTGCGTTGGATTCAGAATTTAACTCTGAGAAAGTGGTATTTTTCAGCCATTAAAAATTTTATTTGTTATAAACAAAAAACGAAGTGAAAAAAAGGGAGTCTTTGTTTTGTAGTTATAACTACAAAAATATTGAAGTTATCTGAAATTTGAAAAAGATACTAAAAGAGTAGAAAATTTTAGTGAAATAAGTCTCGACTCCCGGAGTTGCAGCTCCATTAATTATAATTTTAATTTAACGTTGAAAGTTGGGCTCTGCCCGGCCGTTTCGGGTCCTAGGCCACGCCGCCAAGCAAAGTATGCAACACAAAACAATATTTTGATAACAATCAATATTAATTTAAAAATCTGAATAAATTATAGTGTCATCTAGACACTTGAAGGAATATAGCCCCGCAAAAAAAAATTTAGCTTGATTTTTGTTTAAATTGTTTAATTGTTATTTAACGAATTTTTCGTAGATTTGAGTTTTCATAAAATCTCTCATAAAAATTTAAAAAATGTGTCTATAACTTTTTTTTCTTTTAGAAGCTCTTGTTATATAAGTAATGAAGAAGATTCGGTTGTTATTGTATTAGTATATGGTTGATTCCGTTCTAACTGTGATATTCAATGTCTTGTATTGTTTGTTCTCACAGGTCATTGATTAATAATCAATTTATGAAATTTTTGTGCTTATTGGAAAATTATGAACATATTTCAACATTATTTTCATATAATATAACTTGCCACTTACAGAAAACTTACAATATATCACTTAAATGTCAGTACCGTGTCATGTCCATTTCTAGAATTTATTTATAAATTGTTAGTTTTTGTTTGTCGTAATAAATGATTTAAACTAATTACCTCATAAATTCTAATGTTTATAAGGGGTTTAGGGTTTAGTGGGTAGGGGCGTCAGCGTCAAGTTTTAGTATGATGCTGCGTCGAGTCGCCACATATCCGGGCCAACATCTATGCCTAGAATCCGTAAAAAGGATTCCCCCCCCCTAAAGGGAAAAAAAAAAAAAAAAAACACACACACACACACGCCTGCGGCAGAGGAGAAACTGCTACCAGGCATGTCTCCCCGTAGCGGATGGGTTGATACTTGCTGTCCTTGGATGACAATAGGTCTCTTAGTTGATGAGGTACAGAGGGTAGAAGCTAAATAAAATACACTCCCGTGGACCAAACTTCCCTTTAATGGGTTGGTCACACTAGCTGATCTAGCAAGACGATTTTTCCCTGAGGTAACTCACTGGGAGTGTTCGGAACCTGTATCGTAGTTTCCGACGATGCAGGCTACGGCTGATGTGAGCTTGCTCTGCCGAGGTGTAAGTTGCAAGAGTGGATCTGGAGCCAGCCACTTCGGGCCTTGATCAGGAAGTACGCAGTGAGTGTAAGAGATCGGAATCTTCACCGCCCCGAGCGAGTCTAGTCCGTCCGTATATTTCGGGACTGGCTAAGTGTTGGCTAGGCCTTAAAGAACGGGTAGGAGTACTATCTCCGAGGGTACACCTGTTGCTAGTTATGAAAACCCGCTCCACTCCGTACGATGCGCTGGTAAATCAAAAAGTATGAGTAATTTACAGGAAACAATTAAGAATAGAAACGGGCTTCATGCCCAACAAGCAGCGATTGAAGCAAGCGCTGAAATGAAGAGAACGCAAGCGTTGGAGCACCTTGAAAAGCTGACCATTGAGCTGCAAGAGTTTGTCCAAACTAAGGTCAATATCCACAAGGAGATAAAGACCAAGACAACCGGTATAGTCAATGCTCTTGGAAGATTCAAGAAACTGGACGAGGAATGGCAGTCATCACGACGACGCATTGATACTGAAGTTAAGACGGAGAAAGCAATGGACACTGGAGCTGATGGTGACGGTAAATCTGCCGCTGAGGACAAGGGTGAAACTGACACAAGGTCTGGAAAGAGAAAGGACCGAGATTCGCCAGAGCTAACCGACAAAGTCACAAAGAAGAACGACTTGAAAAAATGCCCTCCTCAACGACTGGCAGGGCAGGGCGACGAACATAAGAACGTGACTGATTGGGAAAAGTACAGTCTAAGAAGGAGAAGAGGAAACTAGCAAGAGAACAACTCTCAAAGCAGCCGCCGAAGGAGCCCAGGCCAGAGCCTAAGCGGAAAAAACCACGCAAATGGATCAGACCCAACGCACTAATCATCCGCCCAGCCGAGAAAACAAAGTATGCCAAGATTCTGCGTCGCATAAAGCAGGACGTTCCAGATGAGCAGGTTCGTTCAACGGTAGATAAGATCAACAAGATCAGAACCGGCGATTTGTTGATCACGATTTCGAGGAAGAGCACTGACAAAAGCCAAGCCCTCCATAAGACTATCGTAGACATCCTTGAGGAGGAGGCCAAAGTGATCTGCAAAGGACTACAGGAGACTATCGAGATCCGAGATGTCGATGATGACACGACGAAAGAGCATATTCAGACCGCTCTAAAGAGGGAAGCTGGAGAAAGTTGTGAAATCCCTCTAGAGGCAATCAAGATCCGTAAAGCCTTTAGGGGTACGCAGACAGCCACAGTGTCACTGCCAGCAGCTGCAGCACAAAAGTTACTGGAGGGAAACTGCAAAATAAGGATTGGCTGGTTTAATTGCCGAATGAGAGCAACGAAGAGACCCATACAATGCTTCAAATGCTGGACACTTTGCGCACTTCAGATCTCAGTGCAAAAGCGAAGTCGACCGGTCTAAGCACTGTATAAGGTGCGGAAAAGAAAGACATAAAATTGCTGATTGTAAAAATCCAGCTAAATGTCCACTGTGCGTTGAACAGCATGGCGTAGAAAAGGCGGCTCACGATGCAGGCACGAGCAGATGCCTCGTCTTCCAAGAAGCGCTCCAGAAGATAA